TTGTTTTTGTACGATTCCCTGGAATTTTGGCAGGATGTCTCGAGCGAAATGCACGACCCCACCCTAGCACGACCATACCCCAGCACGACCACACCCCAGCACGACCAGACCCCAGCACGACCCCCCCCCAGCACGACCCCACCCCAGCACGACCATACCCCAGCACGACCACACCCCAGCACGACCCGACCCCAGCACGACCCTACCCCAGCAAGACCACACCCCAGCACGACCACACCCCAGCACGACCTCACCACAGCACGACCACGCCCCAGCACGACCACGCCCCAGCACGACCACGCCCCAGCACGACCACGCCCCAGCACCACCCCCAGCACGACCACCCCCAGCAGCCACAGCACGACCACCCCCCAGCACGACCACACCCCAGCACGACCACCCCCAGCACGACCACACCCCAGCACGACCACACCCCAGCACGACCACACCCCAGCACGACCCCACCCCAGCACGACCCCACCCCAGCACGACCCCACCCTAGCAAGACCACACCCCAGCACGACCACACCCCAGCACGACCTCACCACAGCACGACCACACCCCAGCACGACCACGCCCCAGCACGACCACGCCCCAGCACGACCACGCCCCAGCACAACACCCCAGCACCCCACAGCACGACCACCCCCCCAGCACGACCACGCCCCAGCACGACCACGCCCCAGCACACCACCCCCCAGCACGACCACCCCCCCAGCACGACCACCCCCCAGCACGACCACCCCCCAGCACGACCACACCCCAGCACGACCACTCCCCAGCACGACCACACCGCCTTGGTTGAGTGGTTGCCTGTCGTCGTGGAATGTTTCGTGGGGTGTCTCGTGGAATGTTTCGCGGGGTGTCTCCTGGAATGTTTCGTGAGGTGTCTCGCGGAATGTTTCGTGAGGTGTCTCGTGGGATGTTTCGTGAGGTGTCTCGTGGGATGTTTCGTGAGGTGTTGCCCCGTTGGGTATCGTGAAAACGTGCCCATGCTCCACATGTCTATATCCCTTTCCGGGTTCGTGGGTCCATCATGTTCGCACGCGGCTCTTGTTAGAAGCCCCTTGGGGTGATTTGTGGGCCATTGTCGAGCTAATTTGGAGCCATTTTGGGAGAGCCTACGGGGTCCTCTTGAGGCTGTTTCGGGCCTCCTTGGGATCCTCTTCGGGGTCTCGTGGGCCCGTCTTGGAGGCCTTGGGGGCCCTCTCGGGGCCATCTTGGAAACGCCGTCAGTCAAAGAACACGGGGGGGGGGTCCTTGCAGCGTCCCCTCTCTGGAGCCGCCCACGTCGCCTTTTGGCGCTCTCTTGGGGCGTTCTTCGGCTGCTCTTGAACGCTCTCGGCGCCGTCTTGGGGCGTGTCGGGTTCTTCTGGAGGGCCATCTCAGGCCAGCGTGGCCATCTTGAGGCCTCAAGAGCCCATGGAAAACGAAAAGGCGACGATACATAACACATAGCACGCAATGGTTGTCACATTTTCCCGGGAAGGGCGTAGGCCCAGGGTTCTCTTTTAGTATGTAAACATGTCCCGGGTGCCCAACTTGAAGGAGGCCGGCGGATTCTTTCCCTGATAAATATCGAGGTCGAAGGAGGCCGGCGGATTAAAATTTGAGGATGTCTCAGGCGAAACGCTTGTTTTTGAAATCCCGATCGATAAATCACAGGGTGCGGGACACCTCAGCACGACCACACCCCCAGCATGACCACACCCCAGCACGACCACGCCCAGCACGACCACGCCCCAGCACGACCACACCCCAGCACGCACGACCACACCCCAGCACGACCACACCCCAGCACGACCACACCCCAGCACCAGCACGACCACACCCCAGCACGACCCGATCGATAAATCACAGGGTGCGGACCACCCCAGCACGACCACACCCCAGCACGACCCCACCCCAGCACGACCCCACCCCAGCACGACCACGCCCCAGCACGACCACACCCCAGCACGACCACACCCCAGCACGACCACACCCCAGCACGACCCCACCCCAGCACGACCCCCACCCCAGCACGACCACCCCAACACGCACCCCAGAACGACCCACCCCACGACCCCACCCACCCCACCCAGCACCACACCCCACCCACACCCCAGCACGACCACACCCCAGCACCCCACACTCACCACCAGCAAGACCACGCCCCAGCACGACCACACCCCAGCACGACTTCACCACAGCACGACCACACCCCAGCACGACCACGCCCCAGCACGACCACACCCCAGCACGACCACGCCCCAGCACGACCACCCCCAGCACGACCACACCCCAGCACGACCACTCCCCAGCACGACCACACCGCCTTGGTTGAGTGGTTGCCTGTCGTCGTGGAATGTTTCGTGGGGTGTCTCGTGGAATGTTTCGCGGGGTGTCTCGTGGAATGTTTCGTGAGGTGTCTCGTGGAATGTTTCGTGAGGTGTCTCGTGGGATGTTTCGTGGAGTGTCTCGTGGGATGTTTCGTGAGGGGTTGCCCAGTTGGGTATCGTGAAAACGTGTCCATGCTCCACATGTCTATATTCCTTTCCGGGTTCGTGGGTTCATCATGTTTTGTCTTGGAGGCCTCCTTGGAGAGCTCGAAGGGCACGCGG